CTGAGTTTTACAATAAGTACTTTTGCTTTTGTAAGCAGGAAACCTAAATGAAGTGGTAAAAATATAGGCAGCAAATGACCACCTTAAGTATGAGAGAATGATTGAAAATGAGGTTGCTGGCCTGGTGGTGGTGGCCTTTAATCCCAGCACTCAGGAGGCAGAGGCAGGCGGATTACTGTTGGGTTTGAGGCCAGCCTGGTTGAGTTCCAGGACAGCATTCAGAACCACGGAGAAACCCTGCCTCGAAAAGCCAAAACCAAAAAAAAAAAAAAAAAAAAAAAAAAAAAAAAAAAAAGAAAAAGAAAAAGAAAATGAGGTTGCCAAAGCATCCTCTATGCATATTTGAAATAGCTAGTTGAAATGCAAAGGTTGATAGTGCTGACAGAAAATAATGGGGAACTGAAGTAGCATGAACAGATACTTAATGAATGCTCGCCATGGTTCAGGGGTTGCAATTGCCTTGGTGCCCACGAGGAGAAAAGCTTAATCCAAAGAGGATGAGCATCCTTCCCCTTGAGACAGAAACAAATTTCCAAATGTGTGCTCTACACTTTAGGTACAAGTCTCTCTTAATCCAAACAGTTTGCTAAAACACATCAGAATTCTGTGAGAGGGTCTCACTATTGATCTGACTGACCTTGAACTCATAACATCAGCCTACTGAATGATGGGATTATAGGTGTGCACGCACCACTATGCTGAGTGAAGAAAATGTTTGATTTTTGATACAGGTCTCACTGTGTAGCCCTGTTTAGCCCTCAGACTCACAGAGATCCACTGCCAGGCCTGTTGAAACTGTAGTTTTTTGGTTTTAGTTGTTTGTTTGTTTGTTTGTTTGTTTTGAGACAGCATTTCTCCTTGTAGCTCTGTTTTGGAGGATCTCTGCCTGCCTCCTGAGTGCTGGGACTAAAGGTGAGCACCACCACCACACCACAGCCCAGAGAAAATTTAGGGGTTTTTCTTTGCTTGTTTCTGTTTTTTGAGACAGGGTTTCTCTGTGTAGCCTATCATGGCACTGGCTCTGTAGACCAGGCTGGTCTCAAACTCACAGAGATCTGCCTGCCTCTGCCTCCTGAGTGCTGGGATTAAGGCATGCTCCACCAATGCCCGGCCAAATTTAGTTTTTTGTTTGTTTGTTTTGTTTTTTTGTTTTTTGAGTCCAAATTTCTCTGTGTAACAGTGCTGGCTGTCCCAGAAACTCACTTTGTAGATCAAGCTGGCTTCAAAGCCATAGAGATCCACCTACCTCTGCCTAACAGGTGCTGGGATTAAAAGCGTGTGCCACCACCACCCAGATAATTTAGTTTTTAAAACCAGTCTTTTAAAGTGAAGAGATGAGAAAATGAATTTCTACAGGATTTCCTTCTGAACTTGTGAGTAGGATTAATTAGTTCATTTAAGGCCGGTGAAATTGGTTTTTATGACATTCTCAGATCAGATGATTCATCCTTCCCTGATAATAGATGTATAAAGGCAGAATGGATTTCCGTTCCTTAGATTCTGCCTTTAGTCTTCCAAGATGAATGGCTTACCCAGAGTCTATTGTACTTTATTTACACTAACTCGCAGCCAATCTAAATTCTTTCCAAACACCTTTTCAAGGACAGTTTTGATGAATCTTCTCACTTCCGATTCTTCATTCGGCTCACATCAACTTAAATTTGGGTAACTTTTTTTTTTTTTTTTCATTTTCGCAATCGTTAACTATCTCTGGATAATTTCAATGAGTTCGTCCTTGTGAGGGTCAAATCAGGTGTGTTTGCGTAAATAGTGTTATGCAAATCAGCAACTATTTCTGTTCATGTTAAGCGATTAAAAACAACAAAAAGCTTTCTGAAAAACTGGTGCCCAGAGCACTGTCTCCTTCCCAAATGGGGAACGTGGGAGGGCTCGTCCCCTGGGTTGAGGCTGCGTTTTTCGTTCCTTTTGTCTTTTCGGAGGATTAGGACTGTCATGGCGCTTTCGAGAAGAGGGAGAAGGCCTTGCTTTCGTCCGGCAGAATTACTTGGGGCACCTCGACTGGGCGGAGGGTGGACAGGGAGACAAGAACACAACGCTGGCAAGCTGTCCGCCAGAGCCCCACAAGGGGAGGAGACCCGGCAGGCCGCTGCCCGGAGAGCGCCCGTCTGCGGGAACCGCCCCCCGCCGCCCTGTCCAATGGAAACCTGGCGGCGCTGCGGCACCGCCCATCTGTTGGTCCGGACGCCGCGAGGGCGGGGCCCGCAGTTCGGTTGCGCTGCGGAGCGCAGCTGTGAGGGAGTCGCTGCTATCCGAGGCCCCGGAACCCGAGCTGGAGCTGAAGCGCAGGCT